GCTATTAAAAGCAACTTCTTCGATAAGGGTCGCAGCTATAATGATATGCGATCACTCGAGCTCCTTGAGGAAATCGACTTTATCAACAAAGACCTGCAGGACATGAAGAGAAAAGTTTAGGTATTCAAATCATTTCGATATATATATATAACCCTCAAAAGACATACACTCCAAGCTAAACTAGCATTATTAACCGTATTGATTTCCAGCCAACGGGGTCCAGGCAAACAGTAATCTTAGTGTTGATTCCCGGCAAGGGTCCAGGCTCGCGAATAACCGTTCCTCCACATAGCTTAATTGGTTCTGCTGTCTTATAAACATCATCTGTGCCTATTGCTATCTGTTAAGATCAAGAATTCAGTCTAACATGGCATAGATTAATCCAATTCGCACGAAAGACGGTCCAACTTAAAAACTATAAAACATTGCAATAAAAAGTAGAAAGAGTCCACCGGTGCATAACCATTTCCTTTATCATTTTCTTTAACACCGTAGTTGTATGTCAGTTCGAGCACTGCATTTTTATCTTCAAGACCATATCCCATCATGGTTGTCGTATACAGAAAAGTAGGCATAAATATTCGTCGAAATGTAAAAAAAAAGAGAATATATGATCAAATATGCATGATTTTGATGGTGATTAAAGGGTGAATCTTTACCTTGTAGTCCGGCTTATCTTTTACACGAAGAAGCTCCATGCCAAAAGCCTACAAGTCCAGGAACGAAGCTAGGGGTATAAGCATTACTTGACACCAACCTTGTAGAAATTAATAGATTGATCGAGATCACAGACTCGAAGCATTACTTGACAAAAGGGCTCAGGTATAGGCTTCCTCTGTAAAAGATCAAACATATAGCCATCCGTATCTATGATATAAGAAATTATCGTATTCCCTCCTTTAACAGGGCCAGGTTCCCTTGTAACCTCTCCCCCCCCCCTTTGCCTTTACTAGATCCACTGTTTTTGAAGACTACAAACAGCAGTTATTCGCATAAACAAATTGATTATCGAAAAAAATGAGCTGAACCGATATGGATGAGACGGAGCTGACATAAATGCTGTATGCATTGCCCATCAAACAACAGCTAAATTTATTTCTTTTCAGTTTTTACGGATGGTAGCCACAAAAAGAACTAGTTGAAGAAAGAGCTTACATCGTCTACAACAATATCAAAAGGACCAAATCCGTTTCCAATATCATACTTGTAAACTCCATAATCGGCAAATTATAACACAAGCATATTAGTGCATAGATCGAACCGAACCTATTTTGTATGGGAAAGTATGAATCACTAATCAGTACTTCAAAGGTGAGATAGATGCATAATCATATAGACATATACCGAAATAAGGTAATCACTCACTATAAGTAAGTTCAACAGCAAAATGAGAATCTTCAGGTCCATATCCGAGAAAAGCATTCGAATATTGCTCCTCGGGTATGTCGCGCTTCCTTAACACCTTCATTCCTAAGCATTCAGTGTAAAACCTTCAGCTTGATAAAAAGGATTGGCCATCTGAATAAGATCCTGAATCACTGAATAGTATGTCCGGTCGACAAGAAATCATATTTTATCGTCCTCTCTAAATCGCCAACACGGTAAACGACATGAAGCATTCTTCTATTGTCATTTTTAACCCAATTTAATGCCTCTTGCTCGTTAAAAGAAGTATCTACATTTTCAGATTTACCATCCTCGATCGAGTTTCGTTCTGCTCCAAATAATTTAGCCGCACTTGCACCAAGCAATTGTGACTGAGGGATAGCTGAAAAACAAGCACCGAAGCTCCATTATGAGCATTAGTGAAATAATCCATTGATGCATTAGCTTAAACATCAAATCTGCAGCACTGTGTTTCATCAAGATCATCAAGAAAACATGCCCAGAACAACTTAAACGGTCATTCTCGAGCTCAAGGAACTGTATTAAGAACTTAAAACTACTACAAAACTCAATCAAAGCGATCACATTGTAAACAATACCAATATAACTTCAGGTTCTTTTTGTCATTGCCCCAGTTCTTTTCCAACAGGATTGAAAATTCTATTACAAAACATAGACAAAAGCATGAAAAGGGACATGGGTTTTAGAGCTTTTACCAGTGCCGAGTTGAAACAGAGAGAGCCTCCGAGAAGGATGGTGGTTGTAACAGTTATGAATGCAGCAATGTTTGAGGGAGTTCGGTGAGAAAGAAGGTGTCTTCATTGAGAAAACCATGGTGGAAGTTGATGCAAAAGGCAATGCCGACATCAGCATGTTTATTCTTTGGTATTTTTATCTTATCCAGTTTTAGTTCATGGTCCGATCCCAAAGTCCCCTGAGAAGTGAGAAGACATGAACGAACGAGGGCCTTGTGTTGTGTAGTAATAAACTCCCATCTCTAGTTCTCTAATTTTGTGTGTCGGGTTTTTCAATAATGGGCTTTGAGCTTTAAAGGGCTTTGTTCATGTAAAAATTATACATTCTTTAGATTTCTGGGTAATCAATTCATGGGCTTGAGCTCTAACAATATAACCATACAAGAATTTGCATTAAAATGAATAATTACATTCATATATTATAAAATAGTTAGATTATAAAACTAGAATATATCTAGATAATTGTATTAGTAAAGAGTGTGAACGTCTAGGTAATTGATTGTTATTGGTCGTAACATAAATGATCAAATTGTAATGATTCAAAGTTGAGTGGTAAAATCTGAAGAGAATGAAACAAGAGGTATATTGTTTTGAAAAAGCAATGGAGATCGTTAGGGAAGACACGGGTGCACACAGAACAAATTGGGACAAGGGATGAACACTTTATTTGAATTTAATGGTCTCTCTGGCCGATGCAGCTACTCCCACCATCTCCGCCGCTGCACGTCTCGTCGAAGGCTTCCAGAAGAGCCACTCCAGCCGCACACGTTACCTTCAACGGTAAGTCACCACTGGAAGTTCGGTGACTCACCGAACTCTACTCTTTTACCCGGTCCGAGACAAGCGCCGGTGATGGCTATAAAGCCATCACCCAACCTGCAAAGAAAATACGGCAACCAACAGAGGGAAAGAAAGAAAAAAAAAGAAAAACGACAGCCAGAGAGCAACCAAAAACTGAGAGCAAAGATACAAAAAGAAAAAAATAGAGACCAACTCAAAACAACTAGCAATCAAACCGAGAAGAAAGAAGAAGAGTTTACCTTACCGGAGAACCCCAAACGGCGTTGGAAAACCAAAAATACTGAAGGTATTTTCCTTAGATCTAGGAAAATTCCTAACTTTTTAGGATAAAAGAATGGTGAAATCGGGTTTAGGGTATTTAGATCTTGGGTTTGGGAATTTTTGGTGTTTTCGACCACCGAAACGGTGGCCGGCGGTAGGAATTACGGCGACAGACGGCTGCCGCCCGGTAACCGGCTTCCCTCCGATGAGGGAAGCTAGAGAGAAGTCAGAGAGAACTCTGGCTATCTCTCTGTTTGAGAGAGAAGAGAAACTGGCCCTTCGGGCAAGCCGTTTCTGGCTTTAAATATCCCTTCCCGAACGACGTCGTTTTGGGAGGGCTATTTGTGTAATTTTAAATGTTAAACCCTTTCCGCAGCCATCCTAATTTGTAACTCTTATATTTTAGTCACTAAATCAAATTTATAATCCTTTTAATTTGGTCTCTAAATTTTATTTATTTATATTTTAGCCCTTAACCGTAATTATAAATATTTTAGATAAAATATGTATTTAGTCCCTTAGTTTTAATAAATAATATTTTAATCCTGAGTATATATTTTTAATTTATTTTAATTTGATATTAAAATTTTATATAATTTTATTTTAGTCACCAAATTAATAAATAAGGAAAATAGCATGTTTAATCCCTATAATTTTAAATAATTAATTATGAATTAGGTATTTAATTTTATTAAATAATAATTTAGTCACTAATTTTAAATATTTTCATTTATTATAAAATTTTATTGTTTTTAATATATAGTTCTAATTTTATTTTTATTGATTATTTATGTTTTAATTTTACTTGTTTATATTTAAATATTTTTTTTATTATTATATAGTCATATAAATATATATAATAAATAATAATTTATATTAAATCTTAATTTGATTTTACATAAATTATGTTTTTATATATTTATTTTTCAATATCAAAGAAAAGGACAGTCTTAATACAACTGGATGTCCTATTCTGCTATTTTAAAATTAAATATTACGATAAAAAATTATAATTTATTTTTTATAATATTTATTAATATCAAAGAAAAGAGCTGTCTTAAGGCACCTAAAAGTCATTTTTGATATTTCTAAATAAATAAATATTTTATTTATAAATATATAAATTAATTATAATTTTAAAATAATAGGATTTAAATTAAATATATCTTTGAATTTTTAAATTTCTAATACTAGAGACAATTTATAATTAAAAAGTATCAATTTTGGGCGTTGTAGGGGTGCTAATCCTTCCCTAAACGTAACCGACCACGAATCTCTTTTTATCATTAAAAAAAATGAATTTTTAGTTAAAACGCAGATCAGTTTATCTTTTAACTGATGTTTTCTTAAATACTCTTTTAAAAGATATTTTTTTAGGTATTCGACCTACCTGACCCAAATGGCCGATGGCGACTCCTAAATTATTAAAAAAATTAAAATCATTAATTTATTCACATTACTTTTTCCGTCAAGTAAAAATTCGTGCCCGGACGAAAACCGGTTACGATAGTCTCTCATCCGTTTCGGTTTTATATGATCAAGTTTTGTTTTAAAAACTTAAAATAAAAAAAACACACGTCAACTCTTATTCTTCTTCTTCTTAAACCACCAACTCCAACTCCTTACAGTTAAGGGTTTAGGGCTCAAATATAAGCAGTTTCCATTTAAATTTCATATCCAATATTTACCAATTTATTTGCAATGAACAAAAGAATATTACTGTACTTTAAACATGGATTCCAGGAGAATATGTATGAAATGAACTGAGTTGCGAATGGCTGTGAACAGTATGATCGATTACATTCCCGGTCGGGCTTGTTGTCGATCATCTTCAAACGGAGCAGCAAACCTGTAAGAGAAATTCCGAAGCAAATCGTCTCCTCCTTTATCAGAACCATTATCGAAGTTGAGAGCATAGCTACAAGGATCATACTGAAACCTGTTCTTTTGACACTTCGGCTTATGGCAATATCCACTCATCTTCCTAACAAAATTCTTCCACTTGGGACCTGATACTTTTTCCGAGACTTGTTTCAGTTTGTTCGGTTTCGGTTTCCACCATGTCTCGGTCTGCTCTTCTCCTCTCCTGTGCAATAACGTATCGGATTCATCGACGTCGTTGAATCTCCGCCTTTTGAAGCAGAATAGATTGAAACAACTTCATCGTTTACCCCAAACTTGGTCTTCATATTCAACCTGAACGACATCCAGTTCTGCTTGCATGAAGATCGGTTTCTTTTGAGAGTTTGCCATGGAATACAGAAACCAAAAGAGGAAAAAAAGGTTATGGTTTTATTTTGATTGGGATAAGTGTAAAATGAGGGCTGGAGAATTCTGTGGTAGATGAAGTATGGTAATGGAGTTGGAGTTGGTGGTGAAGAAGAAGAAGAAGAAACAATGTGGGGTTGTTCTCAAGTGGAGAAGAAGAAGAAGAATTTTTGCATGAACATTGATTTTGGAGTTGGTTCTCAAGTGGGGTTGTTTTCTGTTCTCAAGTAGGGAAGAATTCTTGCCTGGTTTTAAGCTGCTGAAGTAGAAGACTGTGAAAAGCACACGTGGTTTTTTTTAATTTTTTTAATTTTTAATTCAACATCATACCTTCGTCGATGGGTTAACGGACATTAACGGCTGAGAGACTTAAATTAAACGAATCAATAATGTAAGGGATCAAGTACATTTAATTAAAAAAATAGTGACCAAAATTGATCAGACCTAAAACAAAGAGGACTACTGGCATAGTTTACCCGAAAAATAAATAAACAAAAGGTATCAAACGTTTTTATATGTGTGCATGTAGGGATTTATCAACATTTGTGTGCATTTAATTAAAAAATATTGACCAAAATCAATCAGACCTAAAATAAAGAGGATTACTTCCACAGTTTACCCGAAAAATAATAAACAAAAAGTATCAAAAGTTTTTATATGTGTGCATGTAGGGCTTTCTCAACATTTGTGTTCATGTTCGTGTTCATGTTCATATTCATGTTCACTATACTCTTGAATTGTCTGTGTATGGCACAACGGCGAGGGCATGACGGCAACAGAACTCAAAATCCGATCGGCGATCGAATGAAGACTTCCCTCAACACGACAGCAAACGACGTGCCCCATCCAGGAAAGACCCTATGATCACCGATATGTATACGGCGATGATATCAATCATTTACCAAAATTTGTCATCACTAATGAATTGAAAAACAGTAAAAAGCCAAAACGTACTTCAAGTTCATTAATTACATTTAGCCAAGGTCACTTATTGTGATACAAATATTGTACAATGTAGATAGAAACAAGATGATTTAATGGCCGAACGACACAGTCGCATGGTGCTGTCGTTTCTCTGGTAATTAAGGTTTCTACAAAGCTCTTTCAGACCTGTCTGAATCCGTTATATCCTTCAGGAAACATCGTCCAAACCCCCACCAAAACATTAACACTTTCCCAGAAACTGGTTTTTTTTTTCTAGCCCTTTTTGTACTTCAAGAAAATTCAAATCTTTTTTTCTGGATAAGTCAAAATTTTCGATCTGATCAATGTCTGCCGTACAAGAATGTGAGTTTCTGGATAAATTACACTTGTAATCACTTTTTTTCGTTCTTTTTCATTTTGACCACTTAACTTTCAGTAATTATATTTGATCATTTACGGTAACAAAGATAATTAATTTTTATTTTGATCACTTAACAGGCACCAAGAAACAATTGGCTCAAAATGGTTGAATCGTAGGAAGATCATGGATCTCTTGAAACACAATCTAAAAGTTTGGGGACTATGATGTTAAACTTGGTGGTGGTGTAAGGTGGTTCCATGGCAGATGGAAATAGTACCGGGGGTCGCATGGCCCTATTCCCCGGATATGTGGCCAAGGATTCATATTCCAAATTAGTCCAATCAAATTTGTTTACCCATGTAGAAATTAATCACAGAAAACTAGCTACATGTAAGTATTATTAATTGCTAGTGTTCTGGGTCCAAATTTCCAATCAATTACAGCTCACTTGTGGACGTACATTTTCAACTTCTTTTTCACTCTTCGCATAATCGTGAGCGAAGCTAAATACTTTTAAGAATATTAAAATTAAATTATAAATAAATTTAATCATCGAATAATCTTTTATTCTTAAAATTATATCAAAATACAAATTAGATCTCATAACTCGTTTCGTATAAGTGCACATTAATATTTACGTATTTAAGATTATAAAAATCAAAGAAACCAAATCCTTAACTACTCCCGGAGGCAGGGCCTTGACTGGGGGCGCAAACTGCGCGACCGCGCAGGGTCTCCAAAAAATGAGGCCCAAAAAAAAATATATAGTGGAGTTTTATCAATAAGCGCCACTATAGATAGATTTATTGCGACGTTTTTTAAAAAAACGCCACTATTATTACGGCTTTATTGATAAAACGCCATTATAGATGGATTTATTGCGGCGTTTATCAAGAAAACGTCACTATTATTACCCCGAAATCGAATATATCTAAAAAATAGGAGGCCCTTTATACGAAATTGTACAGGCCCCCGAAAACCCTCCCACAGCCCTGCCCGGAGAAGAAGGGTTAGTCGACGGTTCCATGTGAGAAATGGACCCTCTTGATTTGCAAAAGAGATGTCATTTTTAATATGTGGGGGCATCTTCATTTAATTTGACCAAATAATGTATAAATCCACTATTTTATTTTATGTTAGTTTTGAAATAGTAACATGTTGCAGCCAAGGTCGCATCTCGCCTTGGACCCAACATGATGCAATGTGACTCATCCTTCATGCCATGACCTCAATGGTGGTGCCACATATTGGTGAAAGTGGGTACGTAACCACCCTAAAATTTTAATTTTTTTTCGATTAGTTATTTATTTTATTAATAGTGTTCATCCTGAAAATATTCGTGGTCACTTTAGAATTTTTCATGCCCACCCTAAAATCTGAGTTTTCTTTGATTAGTTACTCATTTTACTAACGGTGTCCACCTTAAAACATGAGTTTTCTTCAATTTGTTACTTATTTTACTGATGGTATCCGCCTTAAAATTTTATTTGTATCCATTCATTTAAAAAAATTGTTGTTAATATACATATACACCTACTTAATAATATTTTTGGATTCGGCACTACATTACTAAGTGTGGTTGGAAATCAACTTAACTATCACCAAACCATGCACCATCTTGGAAGATTACGCACCAATTTTTTGGGTCCCTAAATTATTCATGTTGTTAATAGTTTAAATATGCTAATATTTAAATCTAAGTAGGCATTTAACACCTAAACTAACGGTTAGATTGAAAGAAGGACTTGACTGATACGATATTAATACTTGAAGGATTTAATTAGAATATTATAAAATTTTAGTGGTCATGTAGAAAATAAACCATAATTTCGGATTCTGGTGCAATTAAACCCAAACGAAAAGTATGGGTTATCTCCTTATTCTTTCGCCCGAACAGCTATGCTCATTGAAAGCACTTTAGACTTTACTCAGGGCAATGGTTTGCTTGTCAATGCCTTGACTATCCAGAGCCATCTTTTCTTTATTTATTTTTTCTACTTCGTTTATAGTATTTGACATTCGCTTATTTAAATAAATTAACCCAAATATAATTTTAAAATTCATTTTTAAATAAATCAAACAAAAAAATAAACACAAATAAAATTCGATTTTGGTATATTATTTAGGTTGTTTAAATGGTTCGTTGCGAACTTGTTTTGGGGATGATGTTTGGTTGTTTAGGTTTTGTGTGTTGGTGTAGAAGATTCCTTATTGTTGGTTAGATTGTAATCAATAGCGAGATTTAATCGATGCCTAGTTGTATATACTCTTTTTCTCGCTTAGGATTAGAGATGTTTTAAATATGACACATAAGTAGGCTTAGGTGTATGCTTCAAATCTTTATAATAAAATTATTTTTCCGAGCAAAAAAAAATGCCAAACATCATAAATAAAGATATTGCTGATATTTCTTGAAGTTTCAGTTCGAGTATCAAGAATGTCAAAGGTTGGAACATTCAATGTAAAATGATGGAGAGTCGTACTGAACAATTTAAATTATGGCAACATAATTTAAAAATATATATTTTTATATTAAATAAAGATAAATTATGAGTATCAATTTCTTAGAAATGCCGACTATTTTTAAAATGGTATTAATATTAATTTTAAAGAAATATTAATTTTATTTTTAATATTTTTTAGATATGAGTTTTTATTTTTTAAATATCAAATCACACCCCTTAACAAAGGGTAGCTCTGCCCTTAGTCATCGGACCCATTGAAGATTTGACTTTGAGGCTCCCCTACACTGGTTCCTATGGGTGACCCCAATTAAACAAAGGCCTCAAGCTTCTTCTTCTTCTTTCAATTACAAGTTAATATTATAAACACAGTTTACTTATCAAAGAATCAATCATCAATGGCAAAAAAAAAGAAGAAAAATAAATATTATAATGCAATAAAAAAAATTATACAATATTTTCTGACAACACTATAAACCCTAGAATTGGCTACATCACACTATATATATATATATAATCCTATTCTACGAAATATCCAAGAGGAAAACTTGTTATAGAGACAAAAAGTGAAAATGGTGATAAAGAAAAAAATATCATTGATGGGGTGATGATTGATGAAGCAGGAGACAAGGGATAAATGAACAGTTAAAGAAGGTGTGAAAGGGTAAAAATCAATGATTTTTTTTATTAATAAGAGTAAGTATAAGTTGTTATCTTTTTAAATATAATTTTTAATTTTTTATGTATCTCTCGCATCTATGATACTTAAATTCGAGTCTTTAAAAAATAATAATAATCTTTTTACTACGGAAGTTACTTGATTCGTGCCGGTTAGTTTCCATCTTAAATAAGTTTTAAGTTAAATTTTTATAGATATATTTAATTTAACTTTAGATATAATCAAAATTTATATGATTATTGATGTTAAAATTACAATATTTTTTAAATGAAATGAAAATAAATGGGGGTTGAATGGTTCTAAATAAGGGTAACCCCAATCGAACCATAGGGTATGTGACCCATTTCAATTGTGGATCATCTCTATATATTTCTCAATTCTTACAAGTGTTGTACGAGTCACTGGGAAATGGTGGGTTTTCATTAAGGAAAAAAAATAGCTAATTAAAGAAGAAAGCCTGACATGGCTGAGCTGCAACATTCAGAGACGGAGAGCAGCTCGAATTCGACCTCG